CGCAGCGTGGTGTCGGCTGGGCTGGTGGGGCTGGAGGAAGGTGCCCAAGCAGTGTGCTGCGCGCCCCTGTGCAGCACCCGGCGAGGAGGCCTCTAGGTCTCCGTGCAGAGGGGAGAGGGGGGATCTTTCCAGGCCCTCAGGGCAGCCTTGAGCAGCAACTTCCAGCGGGCCCATTGCTCCCGCAGCCTCCTCGTGGGCCTAGGAAAGGCTGAGGGGGCTGGCGCTGCCTGCAGAGTACGCCTGGGCTTTCTGCAGATGTGGAGGTTTGATGCCTGCTCTTTTGTGCGCCAGCCCTTCAGCCCCTCCAGAACGACAGCCATCCCTGCGTCAGTGCCCTGGCAACACAGACCATCCTGATGCTGAGGCCTCCACAGGAAAACTCCCCGTCAGCATTTAGCCTACGAGCCCTGCGCTCTCGGCTCCGCAGAAGCTGGGTGATGTGGCACGTGCTTCTGGGCTGTTGCTCGGTTGGAGCAGAGCTAGAGCAGCAATGCTGACGCTGGCGTGCTCTGCCCCCTGAGGCCCCACAGCTGAGCATGCTGCACAGCCGGGCTCCTCCCTGCCTGCCTGCAGGGCAGCTGCCCTGCTCAGGCATGCCCCGTCCCCAGTGGTGCTCTACAAGTTCACCCCTTGCTTGTGCTGTTCCCAAAGAAGCAGCCCTGTTTCTTCACCACGTTTGCCTTGTCTTTGCGGCGACAGAAGCAAAAGAGAAAACTCTGCCCCTAAAAGAGTCACGGTTGTCTTGCGAGTGGCACAATGGCCACTCTTCCCAGCAGCCCCTGGCAGTGCAGGCTCATGCCTTTGTTGCAAAGCAGCAGCTGCTCTGCTGGGCCACCAAAGGCAGAGGAGAGGAAGAGGAAAGCTTTGGCCAAATTGCCCTCTCCAGAAACATCCCGCAGGCCCCAACTCTCCACGGGCCTTAGGCCTCCTGTGGCTGGCGGTGACAAGGGACGGTGTGAAGCTCTGGAGCGTTGCCATCACAAGTGGCTTCGGCATTCAGGGCTGGAGTTTCACACCTTCTGTCTCAAGAGCTCTGCCCTGCACTTGAGGGAAAGCAGGGCAGAGCCTGGTGGGCAGGTGCTCCGAGGGGAGGTGGGGAGCTTCAGCCCCTCTTCCAGAGTGCTCCGTTCCCTGAGGAGACGCAGGAGGCTCTTCCTCCATCTGGCCTCCGCCTCAACAGCCCAGAACAGAAACTGAGCGTGAGGCTTTGCCCCTTGCCAAAAGAGGCAGAGGTAGCGGGACGCGGTGCAGAGGGCTGCTGGCCTTGTGGGAGGATGGGTGATTCCGCAGTCAGAGGAGCGCTCCATTTCCCCCCTCCAGAAGGGCCACCCATGGAGGAAAGACCACAGAGGTCTTGACTGGATTCTGCCTTGACAAGGAATCACTTGTGGTGCCCCTGCCTATGCAAGGCAGGGCCCACGGTTGGCCTCTTGACTCTGCTGGCTTCAAGGGAGGTCATCGAGGCCAGGCATTACGAGGCCACCAACACTCTGGCCCCAGCTAGGCATCCTGCTCCCGCACTCCAGCCTGGGCTCAGCAGCACACTGCCAGGACAGGCACGAGCCAGCAGACTGCTGCCAGTGTTGCCACTTCCCAGCACGCCCCTGCAGCAGCTCTCAAGCAAAAGGCTGCAGAGCCCCAGGCTCCTGCGGGTAGCAGGTCCTGGGTGGCTCCTCAAGGCCAAAGGCAGCACTGGCCTTGCAAAAGCCCAAGGCAAGGCAAGGCAAGCATCGGTGCCAGTCAGGCTGTGCTGCCCTGCCTCCCCCCTCCGCTCTGAGGGCACCCGGCAGCTCAGCCACGTCCAGCCATGGCTTTGCTGTGGGGCCCCGCCAGCTCCCAGCCCTCCGGCGGCCAGGCATGACGGGGAGGCCAGCACAGGGGCTAAAGGAGCAACGTGTAATTCCTCAGGGGTGTCCCTGCCCCAGCAGGGGTCACGGGCAGCCCTCACAGGGGTGCCTGCCCCTGGTGCGGGTTGCCCATGGGCTGTAGTGCCCTCGAGGTGTGCCTGCCCTGGTGTGACTCGCCTGTGGGCTGCGAGCCATCAGGGCTGTCGCTGGCGCAGAAAGGGCAGGAGCCATGGGGAGCAGGCGAGGGGGGAGACATGGGAGGGGACGTGGGAGGGCGCCCAAAAGGGGAGGCATGAGGGGACATGGCAAAGGGCCCCCGGAGGCACCTGGAGGGCACCGCGGGCCATGGGGGGGACCCACGCCATGGCAAGGGCACCCTGAGGGCATCACAGGCTTTGGGGGGCACCCACACCAGGGCAGGAACGCGCTGAGAGCATTGTGGGT